TCCAACCAAGGCGCTTTAATCCAGCCTATAAGGATGAAAGCATAACTTTATAAAAGTAATGGATCCTTGTAAACATTGTGAGATGTCATGGAACTCTTATGACCAGGCGAGAGTCTTGTACCATCTCGATATTAAGTTTCATTCAAGAAGGTCAGCGCACTGAAACAACCTGACTCAACCTCTAACCATCTACAGAATTTCATCGAAGTATTTCACAGAGGATACCAGGTCGCATTAGCCTGAAACTATCTAGCTCTGTCTTGATTGAATATGCCACATTCTTCTACTTCAGTATTTCTGGTAAACGTTTCCTTTCTTGGGTTGCACCATCACGACGTACTAACTTCATTCCGGTGCTTATTGTCGCCTCAACACCCGTAGTCAATTCCATTTTTTGCAATAAAAATGCGGGGTATTCAAAGGCACAGTGGCAAATGTGTAACTTTTTACTAACCCGGTTTTTCCATCATCTTCATAAATACCTTCGTCTCGAGTCTGTCGCAATTATTCGACTAAGTATGTAGAGAGCACATCTTTTACCTAGTGTCGCTTATTCTTTATACGTCCGGTAGTGAGCCACTAAACACTTTCTTCTGACACCTTGCGGGAGCTCCAAGTGTGTTTAGAAAACAAAAGATCTACCACCACATATCCAATCCGCTGATTTTTCTTAATCTACCCGCCGAAGGTAGCCGTTATGTTAATCAAACGACAGAGCTGGATTGCAGCATCTGGCATCAGATGCAGTGCCCAGCGGGGTAGCAGCCTATTTGGTCGATTGAAAGTAAATTACTTTCTGTGGTTTTGCAGGCTGAGACGTGATCCACCACATTACTTCTTTGGAAATGCACTCTGGTAAGACAACAGTACTTTGCCCGGTTACTGGTGATCAGTACGTGTTCGCTTGTATGGCTGGTCGCAAGGCGCTTCCATAACAGTCAAGAAAACAGTGGACACTGATTTTTATGATGATAAAACACAAAGCCTCGGTCGGTTTTTTATGGACTGGCTTGTTCTAACACCACCTCAAAAATAAACAGTCTTGTTTTTCGAAGGCCAACTCCTAAGGCTTGGGGTTAACTTACAAGAAAAACATAATATCGTACGAACTGATCCATGAATGAGTCAGCATTTTCATTCAAAGTGATACAACTGAGATCCAGTTGAGTCTCGCGTTAACATCAACTTAATCTGCAAATGAGTGGCGTTCACCAAGCTGCGTAAAGTTTAGTTTCAGTTAGAGAATAAAGTAGGCGCAGACGCAGCGATGCACTTACCTGAGGAGTCACAGGTCGAGCGAAATAGGTCGTCCGCTGTCAAACATTTTCCAGCAACGCATAACTAGCTTCTTCTAACAAGAAGAGTCATGACTTTTTACACAGATGAAATAATTATTCTTACAGGTTAGCTCTTAGTCAACAGCAGATGCAGGCGTTTCCTGCCGACCAAGGGACATGGAGATTGGGTTTACTTACCGTTTTTTCTAATCCCATGAGTTAGTCGACTAATTCGAGACTGGACATGGGCACAATCATACCATGTTTTTCAACGTTGAGTTTTGAGTGAGAGGCTTTCTGCTGTTGATCAGTATGCTTCACCTGTTTGCTCATGTTTTGGAGTATGATTAGTCAAACCTCACAACAAACTGGTGACTGTTCATCGCCATCCACCAAAAGCGCCACCGATGTACGTTGTGCTGAACAAACTCATTTGTTAGCTGTATGTTAGCGGTCATATTCTGGTCTGGCATCAATCACATAACCGTCTGAAGGCTACGGGTGGATGGATGATTCTACTCAGTATCGACGAACAATCATGGCTTCACAGTGAGTCCGAGATTGATGTTCCATTACGGAGGAATGAGCAAATATCTCCCGAAGACACAACAACCATTTCTTATTCTTCCTCCCAAATTACATCTACGGGTTCAAGATAAATCACACAGTAATAAATCACGGAACATAACAAGTGTGTCTGCCTGTCGGTGATTATCCTATCTTGGACAGGCACCAGTCTTTAGAAAACCAGGTCTTTGATTGATGGCTGTTATTTTGCAGTCCAGGTGCTTTGAGGTAAAGGCACCCAGTGTTAGATCTTTCAAATTCCTAGACACATACGTCTCGTTGCCAATGTGAATTTAAGTTTCATAACAGACCTATATGGACTGCAAAACATATGAGTGATTTTTGAAGCCAGTATCGTGCAATGTGTTGGACCATTAATAGCTTTCAGGTTGATTTTACGCACTGGTAACCAATGAACAGAGCTGACCAGCAATGTTTCAAACATTGGAGAAGCGGTTAATCATTATCTCAGTTTTGATGACTTATCCTACGGCATTATCTTTGCACAGCGGCTAAGTGTAGGGAAAAATAACACTAGCGCACCATCCTTATCCTTTTCATCGGATTAAGTTTATGCGAACGTTTTTGTATGGTATGGATGTTCTAGAACTCTGTACCCATGAATTCCAATAAGGAAAAGAAAACTTCATACCGCTTCACCGGTTCCAGATTAAAAAGACATCACAACGAGGTATGATCATTGTGGGCGAGTATGCATCTAGCACACCCAACACAGAATAGAGCAGACATTTTGGCATAGATTTTCAATTAGTAATTTTTGCCCTTATTTCGACTCGACAGCACCAAGTTTACGTGTGTTTGAGAGAGGAGTAACGAATTCTTTGTTATCCTGTAAGATAAAAATCTCCATCGGGCTATCGTGGCACGGTAACTGAGTATGCTGTGTACTACCGAGTTTTCCCCCGCCCGTGCCGATATACTAATAAATGGACTGTGGATTTGTGGCAAAAAAGGCCTCCGTGCTTCTTGTTCCAAAGTAAAATGTTTTTTATTTTTAGAAAAGTTCGGATACCGCACGCTGTCTGATGATATTGGTCCCTTATCCTTTGTAATCTGTATTGCGGCACGGCCAAACCACTGAATCAGCACACTTTTTGTTAATATATTTAAATGCACTGCACTTACTACCTGTTCGGCTGCCCCAGTAAGCAAATGCTAGTTTTGTGTCACTGTGTACTAATAGGGATTCTCGTGCTATTCCCCATTGGGGAACAATCGACCATTGTATCACTCATATGCTAAATGATGGCCCACGCTTCCTGGTTAGCTTTCGCCACAACCGAGAAAACCTCATTTTTCACATCAGAAAATCACTGACAGAGTGCGCGAGAACTGCAGCCTAGGTGCAACTGTTAAATGGATCAATGAACTTATCATAGAATAATTGTAGGAGTCCTTTGCATACCCAAACGAAACTTCTCATAATTCAGCAAACACTTGAACTGGGTGACAAGTTTTGAAGGTTTGAATACTCTACGCTTAGCAAGAACTGTTGGACTCATTATTGCTTCACACAACATTTTATAGATAAAAAACAGAGGTTGATAGCCACTGTTGATAAGCGATTTAAATAACTTGGAATGGTCCTCTACACAACTGACTTCTCTTGAGAAACCCACTCACATAGTTCCGAACTTTAGTCAAGTAAGAAAACTAATTGAAAAGGGTAAATCTTTGCATAAATATTGGATGGACATTGCTTATGCTAGTCAAGTGGAGTGATGTCATCTATCTGACTGGTTCTCATCAACATGGCATTGGTATGCTAAAGTTTCGCGATCATTATTGTTGCGCCTCTTTATTCAGGAGTCCCACATATGAGGATGGTGTTTGTGACCAAGAAGCAAATGATACCTACTGAATACTTGTGACGTCCAAGATGCGCTGAAATTCTTCACATTTTTGTCTATATCATACGGCAAAAGACCACAAGAAGCGAATGGTCCTCAGGGCTTTGGCAGCTGCCGGAAGAAGCCATTCACAGGCTCTATAAAACTTACTTAGGTTGCATGCTAGCTTGAATCACCTTAGGTACGCAGTCATCTTTTGATGTAAAATCTGCACGTTATACGAAGCTTGTACAAAAATGTTCTGTTTTTTACCTGAAAATTAAAAAAAAACTGTTTGTTACACTTTGTTAGGTGAGTGCCCATATTATTAGCTAAAAATTTGTTCATACCCTGCACATACTACTCTCCAGGTAAGCCAGGAGAACAACACTACTAAAATGCAGGCGATGAGTTCTCCCGACCTATCGCTCCTGAAAGACATTGAATCGCTCAATAATATGAACTGTGAATGAATTTGTGTGACGTTGGCGTGGAAACATTCTACTTATGAGTGAGCCATCAAAGCACTTATTTGGTAGGCGAAGTTTCGAATAACCAAGAGCACAAGCAGTAAGCCTCTGAAAAGACTGTGGAAATTCTAAATTCCTTTCACCATGCCTTAGCTTGTGAACCCAGCGATTCTGTAAAAGAAATTAACCTGACATGAATGACACTCAGACTCTTACGCTACTTTTTGCTGCTGGTAGCCAGACTAATCAGCTGTCAAACTTTATCGCCTTCCTTTGTAGCATCACCATCTCCAGTAGGATTTTCAATATTACCATCATTCGTATTAGTGGTATCTTATCGGGAACTAGACACTGGGGCTCCAGCACCATAAGATTTGGCTAATCTACTTCAGACATTCCAATCCGCGCGAGCCAAAATAATGAGTGAAAAAGAGCCTAAAGCAAGGCCGGTTAGAAGATCTAGCACAATCACCCTCCAACACTAATTCAGGACTGCGTAGAAAAGGATAGCAAACACAGAGTTTCCATCGGTTTGCCGTCAACTCTCGCAGCGTTTCTAGACGAGCATCACTCAGTTTCTAAATCAGTTGTTGACGCTCATGAGTCACTGAGTAACTTCTGTCCTCATAAATTGAACTTTGAAAACCAGAAAAGCGCCCGATTGTGTAGACTCGTCGGTTTGTCGCCAACACTGCAAATACCACGAGTGGTTGGCAGAATATCAATTCACTTTCAGCAATTCCTATCCATACGGATTTCCGTGGAAGCCTTCATCCACAATGATCAGCAAATTAGCATGAATGGTGCGTCACAATTTGGTGAATGGAATAACCTACCGCATAGGCACAACATGTGATTTATGCTTGCGGTAGGCGTCCTGCAGCAGTGGTCCATAAACTTTCGTCTGGTACAATGAGGAAAAACAATGACTCGACATATACATCATGTGATTTTGGAACCCTCCCAGCCCACACTTGATAACGAACGAATCCGAGACTATAAATACAACAGTGTGTCCTCTGGCGCTTCTAACGTATGCGTGCATCTGACACACTTGAGTTATTGTTGACCCACAGATGACATCGTAAGACCACCCGCGCGCCAGTCAGTTGAAATTCAAATAGCACCATCACCAAGTTCACAAAAAAATTGTTTTTGTCAGGTTTCTCTGCATCTCATAAAATCCGCGTGAACATTCTGTTCATGACAGAAACACTTTGATCGAAATACGATTGAACTTCTCTACCCAGTTACGTTGTTACGGCTTTGTTCACTAGTTTCGTCATTCTAAGCTAATCTATGGATAAGTCGATCGCACATCCGACAGCATTTTATTCGGTCACCTCGTTTTAACTTCATTCTTTTGCTGAGCAATTGAATTCTGCTTGCAGTTGCCGGTATTCAATGACGGGTAGTCAAGGAATAAAGTTGAGTATGTATCACTCAGTAGTCCACTGACAGATTTCAGCTTGGAAATTCGTTTGAAGTACATCTCTTCATCCAGTTGTGTTAAATAGATGTCACCGTTGAGAAGGGTTACACGTACAGTCAACAGGCTTGTCCCTTTTATACTTGGAAATGTTAACATCAGCCTCGTGCATTGACAGCGTACATCAGCTCTCAGCAACCGGAAAGTCATGCAGAGCTCGGAGATTCTCTGCCTTCTAAGAATGAAGCTGTTACCTCATTGTCAGCCGTTTTTGCACAGCGGGTGGTCAGCTAACTGTATAGATTAACGTGTATTCATATTAATCATAGGACGATGTTCAGGTCACCACTAACCCAATGGTACTATTCGGAGAGTCGATCAGAGACTTGCATGTTTATAAATATTCCCCATTTTGTAACTCGTCCACCAAACAATTGGTGGTCCTATGCACATGCCGTATTTTTTGCACTCCCTCTGATTTGGAGGGTTATGCAGGGCATTCATTCCATTCCATACTCGGGTACATGTCTTGTATAGAGGACTTTGAAATCTACCAGAATAGGCTGGCTGGATGGCCCAATATTTTAGGTTTGTGCAATCTGACTGGCTTACAGACTTGATGTGCTCCGTTTGCGGTCTTGAGACTGCTCCAACCTCAAGGTCCCCTTCCCACTGTAATAACCTTGATAACTGAATTATCTGTTCTGTTTAGTGGTTATCCCGTACTTTTACCTGGACAAAACCTACCCTGAGTACATACTCAAACGGTTAGGACCACCAACCTCTTAAATCTGAGAATGCGTTGTCAGTGTTCGGACAACATAAATCATGCTACCGTGGCCTATAATAACCTGAAATAACTCTATATCCAGGGGATTATTCGGTTTTCGGCCCAGTTCTTATCTCCGTGAAACGTTTCCCACTGCACACGGATAACTAGTGCTTTGGATGATTGTGGATTTTAGGGGGATCTCCACTTCTCAATGAAACGTTTTTAATACGAATGAAAGTCTACGTCGAAAAGCGCAGAAGCATCGTAAACGCGCTTCGTCCGTAACGGGAATCGTCAGGAGTGCGAATATTACGACTCTGCATGTGAATTCGATACTGGAGCTCCAACCTGGCGGTTTTACAGCATATCTTTTGGATGTGATTATGGTGTAAGGGTGATACTACTGATGAGTGGGCATGCGAGCAGTATGTTTTCTTCTTGTAAATACGCTTTGCGTCTCTTGAATAGGGAGATCTGTTGCGGAATTGGTGGAGTCGATTTGTAGTATTTGCTTGAATTTGAGTTAATGAACATCCAGGAAAGTTCAAGAAGACGCCTCCAGGAGAAGATGGATTTCCAGTTTTTGTAAATAAGATGCAAATGAGAGTTTTGCTTCCCTGTCCAGTAGTCTGCAATTTGTCAGTTGGGATTTTCTAATAAATAACTCCGCAGCGAAGGCTTTCTTCCTTTCAATGGTAGATCAACTAAGCAAATAATATACACATATATGAAACACAAAGTTACCGTATTTCTGTCAATCAAATGGCATCATGTGACTCATGGTTCCTTGATTGCCGACTTATCCGATGGGGGGACCTGCTTGACTTTTGTGGTTTGTGTCTCTTTCTCTGCGGATTCTTTGCTTTTAATATGTCATAGTATATAACCAGGTGTAAGGCTTTCTATGAGATCTACCAAGCTCCTTTTGAATTGTATCATAGATCAGGCTGGCGATGGTACTTTGTACTTTGCAAAATTCGGAGAAAGCCTTCTTGAAGCGGTGTCGAAATTGGTTCTTAGCTACCGTAAAATGAATAAAGTGTACCGAGTTTTGCTACTTGAAAGTTCAACACTACTTATGCTTCTGTTGCATGGTCCTTGCACCGCAGAACACAACTGTTTCCATCGCTGGTTTTTTTTCAAGCAGCTTGACCTTCTGTATTTGTAGTGATTGACATTTTCAACTTAAAAGCTAAAAAGCACTTCAGCTATTAAATCTCTTTTTTATAGGTTGAGCTTCGAACTAAGTCTATCAAGGTCACCTTTTTAGGGACTTACACCCAGATGGGCATAAGCTAGTCAGTTATTTGGTTTTACCTGAATGTGTTTGCAGCTGATTAGTTATATTTTGCCAAATTGTGAGTCAGACCTATTTGGGAAGTGCATACCTGTTATCAGTCGCTTATTCAACACTTCCTATTCAACGGCTTTTTCCGAGATGACCTTTCCTCTGAAATCGCCAGATGACTGCAAATATCAGCTGCAAGAAAAGACCTTCAGCCATTTAGGCCTACCAGATTTACTTATTTTTCTTTTTTTAATAATTTCCCGCAGGTGGTACTGGTGAGAATAGTTTTGCTTTTTACACTTCAGTGGAGAGGAACGCTCAAAAGTACGGCAACCAAGTTGCTCTACCGAAATTGTGGTGCGTCTCAAAAACCATCATCTATTTCTGCACAGGACTAACCATAGTTAGCCACTTTTTTCCATCAATCTTTTTGGATGAATCCGCAGGTGGTAAAATTCCCAAACTCTCTAGAATGAAGTAATCGCCGAACGTCTGCTGCTGTCTCGTTGACATTGCCTGCGAATCGTCCCCAAGCTTAGAGTAATTGATCGGTTGTGCCAAGATGCCTGCTCTTTAACTTACAGGATTTTAGAGTAGGCTAGCTATGGTGAAACAGGTTAGTATCTCCGGATGGTGGTTCATTTCTTAACTAAAAGGAATGGAGTTGAGATGTTTCTCAATGATTGTGTTACACACCCGACAAAAATCACTTGCAAGGAAACGGTGTTCCTCTCACGGACGGAGAAAAGCTCATGCATCGATGACTTGACAGTTTCCTATCTACGTTCGGTCAGACCTATTTCGAAATATCTTTAGGATGTAACCTGTTTGGTATGGTGTCCCTGTATGATTGGGAGATTTCCATTCGTCGCTGCTCGACTGCAAAAGGTTTCATTCATTACTGAATTTCTCTTTCACAGCTATGTATGTTTTGTTCACAGGATAATCAAAACGTGTATCTCTGGACTCGTAGGTAAAGTTCTAACTCTAATTGTCGAACATATGTGATCCCCTGAGTTTTGGAGTGCATGACGTTTTGCACGACTCAAGAACGTCGTGGGAATTGCATACCTAATTGGTCTATCTGTCTTGATTCATTAACACTAGTTGCACACACCCTTTTCACTATCCAGGCCATGAAAATCACGCAATTAAACGTTTTTCTGTTCTAAATATCTATGGCACTGTGTGAATAATACTAGTGCCGACCCATGTTTTTGTTAAAATGAGTAAAACAAGTGCCGCGAGTTTTGGAACCATTGTAAAATGGTTCAGTTTCAGGGGGTTTAGTCTACAGGGTAGAGTTTCCCCTCGGAAAATCTTGAGATCTACCCCATTAGCAAACAAATGTTGTAGAATGTGTCAGTTTTGCAGATAATTTACATCGGCTGGTGAGAACTAATGCAACAAACCTTATCAAACTGCCACAAAAGCTGACCGTCATTTAGGTTTTATGCATACAAATTATGCAAGGCTATCGATAGGGTAGTTTGAGTTCTAGCACATTAGTGAACCATGAAGTTGGTGGGAAGGTACAAACGGCACTTGAGTTCACTTGTGTGATTATTAAATACTGTCGGAAGATTCGCGAAAATGGAAATCCGCTGCGGGTGAAACGGTAAATGAGTCTTAGAGAAATACACTCATTTGCATACCATACGGTTTTGACGGGAGACTTACCTGGAACGCAGCTGAATCTCTCGTTTAAGATGCTTTTAAGAGTTTGGATTTGCTGCAGTGGGCCACTTTGCGTTTCCGTTAGCACGATATTCAACATACTGTTATGCATGTATACGAGTAGTGTAGTACGCAAACAAGTCTTCTTTTCCCGACACAGCTGACTATGTGGATACCTTCAATAAACTCAACGCAACAATTCAAATTTTAAGGGAGGTTTTCCTCTGTACAAAAAGGTAATCTATATCGAAAATTAAAACACTGTAGGATTGTTTCACCGTGAATTCCGTTAGTGAAGGATGAGCGACACTATATACTATCTAATTACGAGTCAATCAAAATGCTCGTCCGAAAAGCCGTGGCAATTCATGGGAAGCTACTCCTTGGCAACTCCTAATTAATTAAGGTTATTTGCACAATGCATCTTGGCTCTTCGGTGTGGCTTAGCTTCACCTACTAGGCAAAATCTCGATTGAAATTCCAAAATCTATTTATGCTATCAGCAATTTTGATTTCTTCATGATGTAGCCATTTTCTCAGTTGTTTTTGCACTTGGGTGAAAGGACAAGTGTTTTCAAAGCCCGAGTCACAAATTTTGCAGTGTTTATGAAGGTGTGTGGTTACATTGATGATGAGAAATGTGACGTTGTCGCAGAACTGGAGGAAAATTAAATCCCATTTTGCCTTCAGAATTGATCATTTCTTTGGCAATAAGTGATCCACTTGCGGAAATTTTTGCTATATTAAAAAACGCGAATTCTAGTGTGTGCATAACGGAAATAAGAATGAAAGATAGGTAAAGACGTATGTTGTAGCTGACAATAATCTTCAACTCTAAAAGTTTGACGCAACACATAAGTATTCAGTTCAAGGTTTATGCATTTTCCGCAACTTTTCCTACACAATTTTGGACGTGTAACTTAGGCAGCTTATCAGATCACACGTTTGTTTGGGGTGGAATTTATTAAATCTCAGATTGGAATTAGCCTTATGAAGCAACTGAACTTGAATTTTTTCAATTTAAATTCACCGAGCCCTGTAAGAGACTGGCGCCCTTTGATCATTTGGAGGTTTTGTCTGCTGGTAGAACAGAATCCTGCAACTACCATTTATTTGGCGCTTCATTTAAACGGAGTAAAATGTCTCCGTGACACATGCGCCATAGATAAACTTGTTCATCTATGAAAGCGGCATTCAGGTCTCCGAGGGGAGGAAAGCTCGCTGTCCACTAATACGGTCTTATGTAGGAGACAATGACTCGCAGGATAATTATGAATCCGTCGGCGAGATCAAACAGCCGGGGTTGAAAGCGCGTACGGCTGGTCATGCCTGTTATCATCCCTTGGTTGCTAATCGATTCGTTTTGTTAAGTGTCCCGAATGATCATGGCAGATTGCAATTAATCCCCGACATGGGCTTTACATCTATTTTGAAATAAGATGCCGAGAAATATAAGAAATGCATGGTGGGGCAATAGGTGACTAAAATAATTGAGTTTAATGAAGGATAATAAAGACTATGGCAAATGGAACCTTTACTCTTTTGATACAATGAGGTTCGGTACTAAATGTTTCTGTTTTGTCAGGCAGCCCAAACACCCAAGCAAAGTACGACAATAAACCAAGACACATTTACTTGGATAATCCCCATTTATGAGTAGTAGCCTTTGTTAGGTAGCTATTTTCTAATTTTTTTATTGATCTTCTTGGCAAAGTAACCCGAAATTGGTTGGGAAATATCAGGAAAAGAGAAAAACTCGAAACATACCACCCTTATTTATGCTTACGTGAGATCCAGCTGTTCAGTTTTTCGTTTCTAGATGGCCAACTTCCTGTTGACTTAATGAATCGCACTGTGGTATAGCTCGATGTTTTAACCACTTACGAACTGTTGCTTTATCTGTAACCATTCTAAAAGAATGAAAATTATTATGGTCTTTTACTGGACAAGTCGCAACTGAGAATACGGTTCATAGGTTGCGGTAACCTGCTCTGCTGGTTCTTCATTGTCGAGGCAAAACATCACTGCGCAACTCATGCGTGTTTTTTCGTATAAACATAATATATTTGAAAGTTTTGCAATGAATATGAAATAACTCTGAGAAATAGATCCACTGCTCGCCTACTGTAGCATTTTCGGGGTGCCTACACCTCCAGACATTCAAACAACTTCACAACAAGGGCGCTATTTTGTCGGTTGACAGCAATATCTTGCATCTCTTCCAGCCATGCACATGGTTGGTCAAGCTCACAATGCCTGGTGCCAAAGTCTGACCACCCGTTTGTTGTGCCGCTCTGTGTTAAACACGAGAAACAGCACTCATTTGAGCAGTCACTGGATTGGCATACCTGATGCTTGAGAAAGCCTCCGCAGCTTATGTCGTTCGGCCTATTATTCGGCTGAAATAACTGCTGCCCAACCGCACACTCGTTTTCTGTTTTTGTCTGTTTACTGGCTGGAAAAAAAAACAAATAGGTGAGGCAATGAATATTTCTAGTGTTTTGTTGGCGTACGGGGACAATTAAGTTCTCATCCATACTGACATAATAAAATACAGGCTTATCCACTAACATGTTGGGTCAAAAGTTGCCGCAATGAAAATTTTCCTTAAGTATGACACCTGCCGCTATTTGTGTTCACTGTACATCCAAACAAATTTCCGGCTTCCTCGAGCGATTCCAAACGCCATGTAATTTGCATACTTCCACAGCTTTCATTTTCAGTATGACGGATATTCTCGACTTTATCTCCGTTAACTGGTTAGTCCGACAAAATTGTTCGCATAACAATTTGAACCCAGAACTTTTTTTATTCAACTCAACTAAAAAACGAAATTTTCCGACATAAAGTTCCAAAGGCAACTTTATTGTTATTTTCTCTATCTTCAAAAAAATGGTGGCGAGTAACATTTAGTATCTACCACCCAGTAATCGGTTTATATCCATCCTCGGCTGACATTCGACACAGGAACTACGGAAACCTGGTGCATACCGACATTTCTTCGTATGTCAAGTTGAAAGTGCATGGCTGTTTGTTTCATTCCTTTTGCACATGCACTGAGAAAAGCTCGTATTTTCGTGTTTTGCTTGCTCTCAGCAGTTACTTCTATTTTTGGCATTTGGTATAAATAAACGGAGGAACAATTAAATTTTCTTCCTACTTAGTCCATTCGGTTCCGTTTTTTCACTAGACACAGACAACCAAGTCATAAGCTGTGGTATTTCAAAGTCATAAAAATGGTTATTCTATGTTGATACCACAGTAACTTAACCAGTTTTATTACATACCTAATTGAGTGATTTTCTAATGAGGAAGAAGGTGTAAACTTACAAGTTTTGCTGTATATCATTCTTCTTTTATTTGTTCATTTGCATTGAAACTTTGAGCCTTCCTGTGAATCGCAACTCCCATCAAACATTTTCACAAGTTTAAACCGGAATCTCCATCCTATATGGCGCTGTACAGCCAAAATACAACACATCGTGGTTTTGCATGATGTACCGTACCTGATTCTTTCCCCAGCACTTTCTGGGGAAGAACATTCCATATTTAATTTTTTAGCACATTGATTCCTTGGCAAACCAGAAGACTGTCTTCATGCCAATACACACAGTGCGGTACAATTTGTTCCTAATGACGTGCGAGTAACCTGGGCAGTAATTCTGGCACTGCCTACAGGCTGTTCCTATTGGTTAGTTACAATTCGGATTGCATAATCAAACAGAGTGTATTGACTATCGGGTTGATATATTCTTGTTTACATATCCCACCGCACGCTGCAATTGTGAACAGAAGTGATCGAAGTGTTTGAGTATGAACATTTTCGTTGTTCAGTTGCGTGGACCTTAATGGTGTTGTCCTGCGTTCACTCACATATTTGGATTAACCTAATGGGCTTACAAACTGTCATACATTCTTGCTTATCTGTGTGTTATCTTTACCAGTGCCCTAGAAGACCGTGGATCACTGACTTATTTTGAGGCCCAAACAAAACCCTCGACTAAGAGGAGCGAAGAATCTCCGCCCTCACACAAAGATGCTGCTCCACTGACCAAAGCACGACCAGCTCTCAAAGATACAGGTGTGTTTCCGGTGTTTTTCGTAATATATGCATTTCATCCTTTCACTTGTTAAACAGTATAAGCACAATTTTTTTACTGGGACTTTCATAGACCCAGCTACAGATTGCCTTCACTGCATTATACACGTGTAACATATATAAGTACGTACGTTTAACCTGTCCCTAGAGTGGTACATTCTCCATATTATTCTGAAAGAGCTGCAAGACGCCAGGCTCAAATCTTATTGAAAGTATATTCACAAGTCATTAGTACAACCTCAATACAAACTTACTGTGTGGAATAATGTTACATTCGGCACCGGATACCATAGGTTACTTTTACATGTTTGAAGAACGCTCATAGGGGTGGGCTCATTAAAAAAGCTATTCATCTCAACTTGTTCCTCCAGATTCATATATTCGACTGGTGGAGGTGTACAAGTTACTGAGGCCTGAAGAAAGTTTTTTAGTCGACGTATAATCAACCCGGCAGATTTAGTGAATTTTGTCTAGGAGTTGTTGCACCTAATGGAGTGATAAGCATATTGGTGTCAATAAAGACAAATTCCGCCCAGAAAGTCATTCGTATGCGTGCTTGACTCTCAAACCCTAATCACAGGTCAGACAGGGTTTTGTTTTTTCGCATCATTTTGATTCGGAGAACGAACGGAAAATAGATTCAAGCGACTCGTCAAAAACAAACGTTCATTTTTCCTAGCTGCATCAACTGCATACGAGCCATGTTTTTTTTCACTTACTCCGATTTTTTTGCCCGATCAATCCACTGCACTAGCGTATATTAGCTGATGCGTTTGACTTTAAGTGGTTAGAATAACATTTGCAGCGGGACGTTAAACGGGACTAACCGTATGTATTGACTTATAAACCGTTCCAAAAATACTCGCCTGACAGCGTACTTAACCGTGCCCGCATGTAAGTATCTGGTAGTTGCAAGGCTGTCTAAGTTGCGTGACTTTGTAACTTTGTGACCATAAGTTTTTTTCCTCAAGCATCTGATCAGAACTTTCGAAGTAAGTTGAGCGAGTATTTTCTCATCAAAATTCTACCGCAACGTTTCCAACAAACACTTCATGGCCCATTACTCCGATTTTTTGCCCGATCAATCCACTGCACTAGCGTATATTAGCTGATGCGTTTGACTTTAAGTGGTTAGAATAACATTTGCAGCGGGACGTTAAACGGGACTAACCGTATGTATTGACTTATAAACCGTTCCAAAAATACTCGCCTGACAGCGTACTTAACCGTGCCCGCATGTAAGTATCTGGTAGTTGCAAGGCTGTCTAAGTTGCGTGACTTTGTAACTTTGTGACCATAAGTTTTTTTCCTCAAGCATCTGATCAGAACTTTCGAAGTAAGTTGAGCGAGTATTTTCTCATCAAAATTCTACCGCAACGTTTCCAACAAACACTTCATGGCCCAGTTGATGTAAGGATACATGCAGATAAGGGTGCAGGTGAACAGGCTTTCAAAAATCTAAGCCCAAAGTCCTCTTTGGGTAAATTTCGTCTAATTGGACAGCGAAACTGTCAAAATTAGGCTCATGCGATCTAGGAAGAGTAGCAACACCTGAACAGTATTTGAGATTGACTTCCATTCAGCTCGACGGTCCGTAACAATGAGGCTTTTGGAGGTGCTGCGTATCTGTGAAGTAGTGAGTTTTGAAAGACTACTTGCGTTCAAATACGGATCAGTTCATTTCAGCGACTGTCCACCTAAACAACCTTACCCAAGCTGATTAAAAAGGAACATTAGTGCTATTTGTCTACAACTTTGAATTAGATTAACCTTCGCTGGATTCTACCAACAGCTTTCGTCAGCAAGAACTGAAGTACCGTAAATATTGGCACTATGTGCTACCATCGTGTCTGGAAGTCTGTGCAAACTAGGGTTGGAAGCTTTATTCAAATGAGTGGTATGTAGATACGATGAGAATTTTCAACTGAGTCACCCAGGAAGGGTGTACTTAATTCCAATTCACGGAAGGATGGTGGAGCACACAAATCTCACTAAAGCTTACGAATTCAGCCTTTAAAAACGGTTGAAAATTGTTCTGCCTCTTCAAAATCCTATGCATACGATAGCCATGCCGACATTTTTGCCACACTAATCGACTAAATACTCCAACCTTCTGGAGGCTCAGAGGTAACCTACTGTCCCTCCCACTACAGCACTGACTAAGGCAGCAAACAAATTTGACGTGTAGTTTCCTGACTGTTGACTTGTTGAACCAACAAACTTACATTGTCAAATGATACTATTAGGTGAAGCCGAGAAGCGCTTTATAGCTGTTTCATTCTTATTGGGAATAGTTAACAGTGCGAACCTCACGAAACTCTGGAGAGTTCCGAACCCGCTACCACTCGGCTAGTAGTGTGGACAATTAACCATTCGGAATGTAGTGGTTTTTCAGCAGTGTGGCTAACTCACACTGTGTTGTGAAAACTGTCCGGGTTGTTTACCCATTCTTTCAGTTTCATCACATAGCAAGCGTGCCTCTGATTTGTCGTAGCAGTCACTTTACAGATGACGAAATGTTACTTGAAAGGCATACACCGCAGATGAATAGGTTGGAAATGTGCACTTCCATCTCGGGATGTCGGAGAGCATATTCTAACAGGAATAACGAACGACCTGTTCAAGCCCACTCAATTTAATTTGCGGTTGCTTACTGGAAACAAAAGAAACATGCATAAGCTACAGCTGCTGACCTCGTCTAAGGTTTCTTCTTTGGTTTTCCAACCGATATGAAACGAAATTCTCTATGACCCCACAGCATCAGCACCAAAGCGATCAGTTTGCAGACCTAGTCCACTATGAGTTGTTTCCCGTCCAGGTCACCAGTACAGACAAACTCGGAGCTGGTTTTCATACGCTAGTTACCAGGATCCGGTAAAGCCAACTGTTCATGTGTCACAGTCTGTGCCACTATCTGGGTCAAAATGCGTTTCTACACACATGGTAGAGTCGAAACTACACACGAGACTAGACACTGTGTGCGAGTATACCAAGCATGTGGCAAAGTCCGTAATTGACGCAAAACATCATATACCTATTTTAATGGTATGGCATATATTCTACAGTAGGCAGATTGTACTACTTGCACCCACCAAGGCGAGCAACCCGGAAAGCACTACACTTGCAAACAGCAACTGGCAGTCCACTGAATGAGCCGCCGGCTTAGTCATCCTCGACTGGCTCCATTCTCTACCCGTTGCAGGCGCCAAGAAGACAACGTTCCTAGATTGTATTTACACTCGGGCGACAAACAGCTCCCTGGGGATGCCAAACGGAAAGCAAGCCCATGTTCGAAAATCATGGGTGAGAGTAAAAGTAGAAAGCCTTGTTTAAAGATTTATTAAAAATCTCCAATCCACTCATCACTTATCTTTTTCAATGAAGAACAATCATCCATGGCCTAGCAGGCTTGTAACAAAATGCACGCAGCATTTCGGCCAACTTAAATCCAACTTAAATCTTTGTAAACTTATATATGAGCACTCGTTTATCAGTTTGGCTGTACGGCACCTCTCATTTCAAAATGGGCCTGACCTCTGCTCAGCGTCAACGCAATGTTTGTTTGCGTACTTTGTAATAAATCAATCTGTGGAGACCTGTAAAAAAGTCCATAGAAGGATTCAAAAATCGTGAAGACGATTTACGATACAGTATATTGACCTAAAGACAAAATGCATAGCCTAGTAGTTTGTAACAAGGAAACATGACGTCCGCATTCACCATATTCGAAAAATACTTCACCACTGGTTATCACATTTTACCTCAGAAACTAGTTTTAGACAGGGCGTAATCGTCACCTTTCAAGTGTTTACTAGTTCTAGGAAGGCAATGTACTGGCTTCGAAGGAGATATCCCCCGCGAGCGCTTCAGTGGATCGTGTGGTCCGAGACCTATACCTTACCTCAGGACTGCAGGCAGTGTCACAGGTTTGAGCATGAAATTATGTCGCATATTGTTACCTGGTGGTTCCTATGGCTGTCGCGCGGTGATGGTGTAATTGTCATTACAATACAAGTACAATTACAAAGTATTTGGTAACGGGTGACAGAATGTTGCTTGTGGATCAGCATACGGATTACCTTTACGAAACTGCCGCCTGCAGTTGTCCATACTACCCACACTTGTTCTTACATCATCGTGCTAGACGCTGCATGCACACAGCTTCCTCGATAGTGACTGATCCTTGATTTGTACCTCTTGGATTTGTGTACACCAACCCGGAGGGTCTGAATCTGCCACTTGCTGACGGACTTGTGATGCTATCAAAATACGCCCGTTTCAATGCATACATGACTCCGCGTTCAACACTGAAATATCCTATTGTCTTAACTGCTTATTTGTTCCGAACAAGCAGCGGTAAATCGTTGGGATCACAGTGTGTCCCATTAGAGCGGAAAGTAGTTACCGGCCACCGATCAGGCTTATGCTTTGTTGGCAGGCCGTAGCGCAAACCACGAATTCGATAACTGAGTAACCACTTTCCAGTCTACATCCAACCCTAGAGAATTTACCTGTTTCTTAGTGATTTTGGATAGCTTCTGATGCACAAGCTTATATTTTGAAAAGGTTAATCTTCTGAATCTTTGTTTTGAATGTCACCATAAGCACGAAAAGAACGGAAATGTAATCACCGCGTAAGGTACATGAAGTATAGATCCATGCTTTTCTAACCAAACAATATCAGTTGGTGCACGCAGATGATGATCTCGTCGAACAGACTGAAAACATCGAGGTTATTATCCTTCTTTAAAGGTGTCTATCTTTGGGCTAAACGTTTTTCACTGCTCCGATTCTACTTTTTGGCAATGGCATGGGGAACTAAGGAGAGCGATGTCATGCGTATGGTAATAAGGAAGCGTGAAACCAAAAATTTTGTGGAGCACCAGTCTGGACCGGTTGGGTGCTATGTTACAAAGGACACAATTCCATTCTGCAGACAGGAGATTTTAGATAAGCTCTCCTTTGTGGGAATTTAGTTACAG